AGAAAATAATTTAAGTTCATTGGGCCGGAGAAAGACAGAATGGGAGACACAGAAAGCAGAGACGACGTAAGAGAAAGCATGACTGTACTAGTTAAGGCATCCATCTGGCAGAGAGATTCTTAGATTCCCTTCCCAGCTTTCACAACTGTTTCTTAAATATTTCATATAAATAGTCACTTGATAAAATACAGAACCGGATGTTTTGGATACCATATTGAGAGGTGCTTAATTTCCCCCATGTTCTATATAAGAAATCTAGAAACAGAATGAGAGGTTCTGAATTTCCTTCTAGGAACCCAATACCTTTCACTTTGGCTCTGCGAGGTCTAAGTTCTGGACAACTGAGCCGCTCTTCAGACCTGACTCTCATGATGTCATCTAAAAAACCTATTTTAGAGATGTACATTCTCCATCACATTTCCCTTCCCAATGTATTTGACATAGACTTTTTTGTATCCCTTCTTATAAATGTCTCATTATTCCTTCAGCTCTTCCAGGTACCTTTAAAATTAAAAGCTGCAAAAATCAGCTCTGACTTTAACTGGAGTAATTTTTTTTTTTTTAATTTAATATCTTACTTGCTAGAGAATATAGCCATTTTCCCACTACAGAAGCTTGACTGAACTTATTTTCAGATACCTTGAACAAGCTAGATTAAAGTTGTTTTTCTGTCATCAAACAGGGATGTTCAATGGGGAATTCCAGTTCAAAATGCAAACTTAATTCAGCGTTCCTGATTTTCTCAGGGAGCTTTAGGGTGAGCATTTGTTATTTTTCAGAAATGCCATGCCTGATATGGCTGCCTGAACTTGTTCTGCCAGCCTGGAGCAGAGACACTCTTCGCTCACACGTTGCTGTGGGGTTCCTGATGCCACTGTTGGACTGAATTGTTCTGATAGTGGCTACCATAGCTGTAGGGCACAAAGTGGGATCTCTTTTGGCCAGCTTACAGCTTCTCATCTGGTCTCCAGCCTTCCCAGAACAGAAAGGAAAGAATTTGACTGTAGCAGCTCAGAAATCGCACAGGTCCAGTATGTTCTTTCCAGTTGCTGTTCTGGAAGCAGCCCCTCCATCTCCAGTTACATAGGAGCACTGTAACATGCTTTATTACTTTCTCAAGCTGCAGCTTATTTCCCAGGTTCATTTGTATCATTTTCTTGGATGAGATGTGGTTCCAAACATAATAGTATGCTGGCTGTTACTCTGGTCAGCATTCAGCTTGAGAAGAAATTATTGGCATGGGCAGTCCCTCTGGTGCATTGACTGAACCCCACAGTGTGGTGTCATCAGCAAACTTGCTGAGGGTGCACTCAACCCCACTGTTGTTGTCATTAATGAAGATATTAAAGTGTATTGGTCCCAGTGCTGACACCTGTGGGACACCACTTGTCACTGATCTCCATCCAGACATGGAATCATTAACCACCATTCTACTCAGGACTCTGTCCTGCAGCATTCTTTGTCCGTTGAACATTCCACCCATCAAATCCACATCTTTCCAATGTGGAGAGAAAGATGTTGTGGGTACTGTGTCAGAGGCTTCATGAAGTTCAGATAGATGACGTCAGTGGCTCTTGCCTTGTCCATTGATGCGGTGACACCATCATAGAAGGCTGCAAGGTTGGTCAAGCAGGATTTGCCTTTGGTGAAGCCATGCTGGTTCTCCTGTAGCACCTCCCTGTCTTCCATTTGCATTAGCCCAGCAGAGAAGTGAGACTGACAGATCAGTAGTTCCCAGACTCATCCTTTTTACCCTTCTTAAAAATGGGTGTGATTTTGCCTTTTTGCCTATCACGGGGGACTTCACCTAACTGATCTGTCACATGTCATTAAGAGTGGCAATGGTGACTACATCAGCAAATTGCCTCATGGCTCTGGGATGCGTCTCATTGAGACCCATAGACTCAGGTGGTCATGAACCTGATCTTTGCTCACAGCAGAAGAGACACTGATTCTCCAGTCTTCTCTGTCCAAACCAATCATTTTGGGCTGTGTGACAACAAGTTATCAAAGACAAACGAGGCAAAAAAATTGTTGAGTACCCCAGTCTTCTCCTTGTCTGCTGTTACCAGCCTGCCTGTGTCACTCAGTGGTGTGGGAGCTATGCCCTGCTGGACTTTCCTTTTCTGGTTAAGGTACCTTGGAACCCCTTGCCAAGTTTGGTTCAGGTTGGGCCTTGGCTTTCCTGACTCCATCTCTACATAGCCAAGCAGCTTCCTGATACTTTTCCCATGATACCTGTCCATTTCCACTGCCTGTGCATTTTCTTCTTGCTCTTCAGTTTGACCAGCGGGTCCCAGTTCAGCCATGACAAGCTGTTACCTTCCTTTCCTGACTTGCTACACCTGGGGATGGAGAGCTTTTGTGCCCTGAGAAAAGCTTCCTTAGGGATCTGCCAGCTCTGCTCTGCACCCTTGCGTATGAGGACAGTTTCCCAGGGTGTTTTGTTGGCCGACTCCCTGAAGAGCTGAAAGTTAGCTTTCCTAAAATTTAATGCCGTAATTTTACTCTTTGACTGTCTTAATGTAATATACAATTAACTAGCTTTGAATTTTAGAAGAACATTGAATTATGATACTTCTGTATTTGTGGGAAATGCTGTGGGAACTAAGAAGGTCAGATATCCAAATGGTTGCGTTTATTTCTCATTCATAGGAGTCCACATGCAACAGCACAGGCCCAACTTTAAGACTTTCATTGGAAGTGATGCATCTTAACAAGCCTATCTGTACCCAAGTTTCCTCGTTTTTTTATCAAGGAGCTGACCAGAGTTTATGCTACTTAGCCTGGGAACCATAATAATAAAAAATGGGGAAGATAGTCAGGATCTATACAGCTTTACATTTAATATGGGGAGTTTCTGGAAAGAGTCTGTAAGTAGGGACTCCTGCCCAGACCCCATGCTTTGGCCAAGCGGTTCTTGGCAGGCCTCAAAGAGGGTGGTGAAAGTGCAGCTTTAAGCCATCCTTGCATCATCCTGGGGCTGTCTCCCTGCCAGCACGGTCCCCAGTGTGAGCTCTAACACTGTCAGCGCTACTGTACGTTGTGCAGGCTACCAGTGGGCCCAAGAGACTAGGCTCTTAGCTGGAGACCCGTGAGAAATAGGGTCCTTTTAACCATTTCCAAACCATATGTCTTTCACTGGTCCTGGGAAATCAAGAGCCGTTGCATGTGACTGCAGTGACTGCCACTAGCTGAGGCTTTTTTGTGTCTGCGCTGGTCGATCTGCAAGTACCTGCCTGAATTGCCTTGCAGACACCATTACATTGATCGTGTGGCAAAAATCAACAACAGAACATAGCATCTGGAGAATCTGGCCCAAATGACTGCACATGTACATGAAGATGTTTGTGATATCAATGCATGTCTGCAGTTGCTGCAAAAATCACTTTGTCTGCGACTTTTCACTTGCTTCAGAATAAAGAAATCTGAAGAATATAATGAGGAAAATGAAGTCTGAAATCCGATTCCTAACATCCATGAACTGCAGCTCCAAGCTGGAGGGAAAGCATTCAAATCCCACTGTGCCCTCCTGGATGCGATTCCATTTGTAGCTCTGCAGTAATCAGCAGACACCAGTGTCTGGAGCAATTGAATATTTTTGGTATGTAATTGGCACTTAGATACCAACATGGTACCGGCTTTAGAAATAGCTAAGGCAGATGAATATTGCTTCTTCTTTTCGTGTGTGTGTCTGTATCATCTGTGTGAAGCTGTGTATTAATGTGGAAAATTCTCTGTTGATTTTGCTGGGATGCGTGTCTGTGCAGAGAATCTGTTTCATTCCAAACTGCAGTAACGTATAGAAGGGATGTTTTTTCTTTGTGCTGTGAGCATCTAAATTAAATTCCAAGTATTATTTGTGCAAAAACTGTGAATGCTTCCAGCTTGCAAATGAAGTCAGCCCCTTGTTCGTGTTTACAGTAAAACAGCTGTTCTCAGCATTTCTCCCTGAGCTTCAGCTACTTCAGCTCTGCCATACTCACTCAGTCTTACATCATAGCAGCTGCAATAATAAGAGGCTGAAAGAGGTCAGAAGCAGGCAGTCCTGCTAAACCACACCTTTGTTTAAAAGAGATTTGGGATTGTAAAGTGTCTTAACTGCTACATTTTTCAGCCTGACTGGACTCCATACATGGGCTGGGTCTTCAAAGAGCCAGCTCACCAAATGCACGCAGGCATTGCCAGCACAGAGTAAAGCAGAACACAGGCTCTTTATACATTTTCCCAGGAAACATTCTATAGATCCAGACTGGGAAATGTTCCAAAGCTTCACAGAATGTTCACAGAACTAAAGATAACAGTAATAAAAAAATGGACTAGAGCACGCTGACTTTTAAAAGAAATTGCTGAGCCTATTCTATTTGCGTTGCAAAGTCTTGGTAATTTGCGTGGCAAGACTTTGCTAATGTACACCGATGTACTCATGTACACTGCTAGCAGCTACGGAGTGCTGAACTGCCAATTAGCAGGTATGTAAACAACATTCTAAGAAAAGAAAAAGGCATCAGTTGTGTAGGTTGCTTTCAAGACTGTAGTTCCTTTGTAAATATTTATGATCACTCAAGTAATAAATGCTACTGGATGTATTTTGTAAAAATAACTAGGGGCTAGCAGAAGGTAAAATCGAGTGTTCCACTGCTCAGCTTTCTTTTGAAAGGAGAGAGGCCATCATTTTTCTGCTAGTTATGAAACATACGGTCTGCTGAGGTTCTGCAGTGTCTGCATTGTAAAAATACATAAAAATAGTTTAGAATAAATTTAAGACCATTTTAACATGCGATGTCCTGTATGTGATTTACCAAAGCCTTTTCTTCTGTTGAGTAGTGGTGGGAGATAGGAGGGTTTTAGCACACAAGAGACAATGTGTTCGTTGCTGATTCATTACGCCACCAAGGAACCGGATAAAACCTGTCATTTTTATTTTACTGAAAATGAAATTTTGAAAACTGAAGTAGGAAGAAAGTGAGATTTGCAATGTTGAAGAGCTTCCAAACCGATTTATGGGTCTTTTATTCCATGAACGAAGGGTTATTTTAACAGAAATTTCACAGTTAGAATCAAGCATCGCAGCCACACGCCACATAATGCCAGTGACACCTTCTAAATCCCCAGTGAGGAGGAGCAGCAGCCTTCCTGGCCGGGCAGCACACAGGGTGTTGTCTCAGATGATGTCACAGATCTCCTGGGTTGTGGAGGGCACTGGGGCACTGGAGGCTGTCACGGCTGGAGAGCTCGCTGCGCTTAGCAGATTCCACAGCATGACCGATTGCATCCAAATGGGACTTAGAAAAGCCCTCAGTGTGCTTTCCGTTAACAGAATGAGAAAGAAGAAACCAATAGAGACCAAAGGAGAGATGGTAGGATTTGGAGATTCCATGAATACTTTTACTTCTGTAATGACAGTATACAGTGGAAATTACTAGGTCTAAATTGTACTAAACTGGGAAGAAAAAGATATGTCAGTTACATTGCAAGCTTGCTTTGAAAGAATCCTTTGAGATCCTAATGATGTCAGGGCGGAGCTGTACGAGGCACTGACCAGCACAGTAAAGTACATAACCCTTTGTTGAAGGGCGTAGAGGCCACATAGAGGGCTGCACAAAGGCAATGATGTGAAACTGTACACTCCAGCAAACTGTTTAAGGTAACTGTCCACAGGTAGGTCAGTTCTGCCATCACAAAAAACACGTTTGGGTGAGGAACAACAAAAAAGCAAGTTCATGTTCTCTGATCTATGTATCTATACATACATAATGTCTGTTTATATAATATTTGTGTGTGTATCAACTGTATAGAATCAGAGTACTGCTAGAGATGCACGTGTCGATGACATAAACCCTTTGTAACCACCCACCCAAGATAAATACTACTTAGAAGCATGCATTTTTCTTTAGGTTTCACTTGTGCATTCCAAGCGTGATCAGTTTGCTGCTTCTGGTATAAACTGTCACTTGAACCCCTGGATAAAAATATTGCTTCTTCTCTGTCATATTGCGAGAATATATTCTGACTCTCTCACTCTGGGTACAAACGTGTCTGTCATGTTTGAAATGGTAACATTAAATACATGTTTCTGCTGTCAGAAATGCAGCAGTTAAAGCCTAAATAATATCTATAGGATTAAGATCCAAGAAACCTTACAAGAAATCTATATGTAGTTATCTTTCCACATTTCCTCTCTCTCCCCTGTCACAGGCCATGAAAGAAAATACCAGCAGTGCTCTGCTATGTGTGCTTATCTCATCAGGCTCCATTTTCGGGTGTGTGGAGCGAACGGTTTCACCTCAGTAGCTTTGTAGCAAAATAATGCACATTCTTCCATGCAGGAAGAATGAAAAAAAAAAATGCAGGATTGAGCCCAGAATGGGGGCAGGGGGGAGAGATGGGAAGGTTTTTTAAAAGAGTTTCCTGAATAATCAGGAAATCCAGTGAGACAAACAGAACGTGTGGTGAGCAAGCCAGAATTATCAAATTACCATGACAACCGTAGGCAAGAACCCAGAGAGAATCAGGTAAAGAAATTACAGTAGAATTACACTTAGCTTCGTGGGTATTTATTTATTTATTTGAAAAAGCCCAGGCAGCCAGGAAGAAATATTTCCTTTGCCCTGGCTCGATCTGGTGGAGAGACTTTCTGAAACGCAGCCTTGTGTGCGGCCCTGACATTGCCTTGTACATGTGTGCAGGTCGCTTTGATCTACATTTGCATATGCAGATTGTTTTAGCCGGCAGGATTTTATGTCAGAAAACTCAGAATCACAGATGCCTTAATTTGTTGGAGAACGGGAACTAACAGAAAATTCAGAGAAGGTGAAGATTGCGTGCGTGCATGCGCATACACGTCTGCCTGCGTGTTTGTGCTGCTTTGGACACGATCTCCCGGGCATGTTCTGCAAGTGACTGCTTTCTTTCACCTCGGCTTAACACATTCATGGCCAAAATCCTTCCGAGCAGTGCACCCACTGAAAAGTAAGTGGAACTGGAGTGAAACTTGAAGAATTTTGGCGCTCGTTGGAAAAAGCCCCGGGTTTTTACCATCGGCTGGTGTAGCAGATTATCTGTGCAACGTGAGCTGAAAGCGTGTGGGGTGGAGACTCACTTCCTTCGGTTTGTTCAGTTACAGTGTGTCATTTCACATACTGCCATTCACATACAGAGATAAAAGCATGCCGTTTTGAAAGGCGGAGATCCACATTTAGAGAAGGAAGGGGGCAACGCGTTCATCGGCAGGGTCGCTGTTTTTTTCCCCGTTTTAAACAAAGCCCTCAGAACCGGTCACATTCCGGTACGTACACAGAATCCCCCGAACGCTCCATTCTTCCTGCTTTGTGCCGCCCGCCGTCTGACCGCTCCCTGGCGTTTTCCGCCTTCTCTGGGGGAGCACAGATGCGTGCCCATCTTGATCTCGTTAGAGGCTGCCCCGGAGCGCGCTGCGCGGCCGCGGCGCAGCAATGCAGTGCTGTGCCCATTGTTCCCGCTGTGATGTCACGCGCAGACTTCGCCCTGCTTAAACAGAACGCGGCTTACTCAACTGCAGCAGGGAACCCACATTTATCACTGGGCAGAGACAGAAAGAAATAATGTGTAAAGAAGGAGACGGAGGAAAACGGGTATAAATTCTGGCTGAAATATTTGCCACCTCTGTTTTTATCTGTACTCGTTTGGAAGGAGATATGCACACTCATTTCTATGCACAATCAGGCTGTGCATAGCTCAAGGGTGTGTTTATTTTAATCTTGGGAACTAGAACAAGCCAAGATTCACTCCCAGGACGTGCATTGTCACTAAGATCTTTTAAACATGCAGTTTTATATCACACTGCTCATTCTTTTTACTCACATTAACCACACATGGAGTCCACATAATGGATCTAATCCCGCTAGCTGTCCTGTGATGGTAATGAGCACTAAAGGCACCAGGCACGTTGCAAGTTCAGTGGTGAATTAATTCATTTCCACGAACATCTGAGAACTGTATGTGGTGACGCTGAGGGGAAGAAAGGGGACAGCCCTTTAATTATGCTGGGAGATGCTGAACTGGAGGCAATTCTGAAGAGACTGAGTGGGGAGAAGGTCTCTACTCCTCCTCCTCCTCCTCCTCCCTCCCGGCCTTACACATCCCAAAGGGCAGCGCTTCCACACAGGGACAGTTGGCAGGTATGTGGTCGTCTTGTTCCCAGCACCTTGGAGGAGGCTTGCCCTCTCCTTTCAAAGCAGCGCTTCCTGTCCTTCAAGAGTTAACCTTTCCTAGAACATTTATTGCACCATCTCAGGAAAATAAATAAATAAATAAATAAATAAATAAATAGAGGAAAGAAAAAGAAAAAGAAAAAGAAAAAGAAAAAGAAAAAGAAAAAGAAAAAGAAAAAGAAAAAGAAAAAGGGAGGAAAAAAAAAAAAGCCCTGCAGAGGCAGAGCTGAGAGGCTGCAGATCACAAGGCCATTCTGATAGCCTCCTGTCCCCATGGCAACAGCAACGGCATTTATCAGTTCCTTATGAGAGCAGGCACAGCAAATCTGCAATGCACAAATGCACATGGCAGCCTTCCAGCCTTTCAAATGAAAGAGCACTTTGAACTGCTGCCAAGTGTGGAAGGAGCAGAGCTGTCAGGACTGCTTAATGCTGGCAGTTTGTACTTGGGAGCCTTTCTGTTCCCAGAATCCTTCAGCTGTGGCAGCCTGCCAGGTACTTAGCGGAAGCTAAAACTAACCCCCAGACCATTCACTGCAGTGCACTCAAAATTTTCCACATGTACTGTGTCACAAGTGCAGACTGTACAATGAAAGCAAACGCCTTCTGCTTGAGGTTCTGATTTTATTAATAATCTAGGAAAAAGTGATTGGCGATTAGCTGGCTGACAGCAGTACAGTATAGCCACTGTGTGTAACTCTGCGCGTGTGTCAAACGTGTATTTCATCCTTCAAAAACAGAATTAGCTCTGACAACAGATTTGCGTGCAGTATCTGAGTGCTGGGCACAATCAGCAGGAGCAGGAGGAGGAGCGTGCTTATTTACAGTGGGGTATTTTGTAGAGATTGTCAGCAGATGCATGGCAATGAGGCATGGAATAGAAAAAGAAGGCGCTGTTGCTGGCTGGTAAATATTTTCTGCCCTTAGCCTCTGCATTTTGCTGACATTGTGAGAATCTCGGAAACTGGCTGATGAATGTAGCAGAAGTAGATGGCTCTTGGTGGGTTTCCTTTCAATGGAGAGTTTGCATGTGAACTTTTTATTGTTTTGCATTACCCAAAGCACAAGGGCTTCTGTTGGCAGAGGAAACAAATTGGCACAGTTCTGCTTTTTTTTTTTTTAATCTGCACTGAGATCAAGGGCAAGGGCTTCATTTTCCAGCACTAGTCATAAGCCTTTAGCACAAATAGAATGAAAATTGTCTGTCGCTCAGGCAGTTGGACAGGGTTCAGGAAAACTATGTCTGGCACTAATTCCAAAGGGAAGGTTTGGTTCAATCCAGCATCATTAATTTCAGTAAACTGTTTTCACTAGTCTGTATCCCACTGTTCGAGTGCTGTTTATTATCTTTTACTAAGTAATGCCTTTTGGAGTACAAGGTAATGAAAAATAACTCACAGAACACGAATGCCTGGGTGCTCTGTATGTATATGTGCACATGGATGCAGTACACGTGGAAGCACGTACACTTGTTTAACTTCTCTTATTTTTCTTAACAACCGCTTGTTTTTTACCTTACCTTCCCATTGCAAAGCACATTTAAAATGCCAAATATAAAACAGTAAAAATAGCCCAGAAGGGGAGAGAGACAGAGAAGAAAAACCCCTGGAGCAAAGACAATCTCCACAAATTTGTGAGTTTCACCGCAAAACAAGGAAACGCATTGCCTCTTTTCAGCTTGCAGCTATCTTTGGCTGCTGCTTGAAGTCTTGACTTAATTCACCCGGGCAGCAGTGTCTAAAAGTAATACACCAAGACAGTTAATTCTGGCACTTGGTCTCCCTTAGGAATTTTACCAACAGTCTTTGAAAAGAAAGTAAATGATCTTTTTTTCCTCCATTTCCCCCCAAAGCTCATCTTGATATGTCCTAATAAAGGACACTGCCTTCCCCCTCTATTCTCACCCTCATCCCGTGTCCATACAATCCTTCTTTCAGTAACAATGTTGATCAGCATTTACAGTGTGGTCTTAGAGAAAAAGTGGTTCAGGTCTCTTCATACGGCCTGGTTAGAGAGAAAAAGCAGCTCGTGCCATGTGAAATAACTGAAGAGTGTGTGGTGTCTTTTCCTTCCTGCCTCTTCCTTTTCCTTTTCCTTTTTCTTTCTTTCTTTTTCCTCTTGCTTTCTTGCTTGCTTTCTTCTTCCTTACTTCTTCCTCTTCCCCTTCTTTTCTCTTTTAATTTGCCTTTCCTCTTCCCACCTCCCCCATTTTTGGAAAACACAGTAAAGTTTTGTTCAGTTCTCAAGTGTTATTAATCACTGGCGGAGGCCAAAAGCAGGGATATTTTTCTTGGCAGAACGTTTTGATAAACAATCTGTGTATGGGGTGAAGGGAGGGGGGCTGTCTTGCTGGTAACTAAGCTAATGTTTGGCAGATTCTTAGCTGTCACGAAAGTGCAAGTGGCTCTCGGTGGGAATAGCTTGAAAAAAATGTACCGATTCAGTAGATTCATTATTGTTGATTGTTTACTACGTCCACAGGATGTAAGATGAAAACAGGCCAGAGATAAAGCAAAAATAACAGCAGCAGAGAGGACCCAGTCTCTACGTATCCAAGCAAAAAAAATGTGCTACCAGTGCTGAGTCCCTTGCAGAGTTAGCAGAATTCATTGTAGGTGTCTTATTTTGCACTGTAAGATTTGGCAAAGGTTAGTTAACGTATGGAAATCTGGGCTCTCAGATGGGTTTAAAAACCATAAAGTCAGCTGTATGAAAATCCATTTAGGCTGGGTCTCACACCGTAATGACTCCCCGGGGCAAAAATGGGACATTTGTGTGGCATGGGGCCACAAAGCTGCCTGGCATCAGGGGCTGGCACAGAGCAGGGCAGCTGTGGGTGGTGTGAGCGGCACGGGGAGCAGAAATGTGGAAACGCACCAGCAAAGTGGGCAGCGCTTTGGGCAGCGGCTGTTTGGACACGTCTGAGTGCTGCAGGCTGGAGAGAAAGAAAAAAACAGGAAGGATGAAAGGAAGGAGGGAGGGAGGAAGTGAGGGAGGAGGGAAGTGGTAGGCTCTGTGTATGTCAACAACGCTCGCTACCTGAAGGATGGTAGGAAAATACAGAATTATAATGAGATGAGAACTGAAATGATAAACAGAAACATGTAATTACACTCCTGTTCTTTGTAACCAGGTGTTTTGACACTTCGTGGCAGCTTCTAGTAGAAGACAGTGTTGTTCAACTTTGAATTTGACAAAATTCTGCAACTTCTATTGAAGTGTTTGTGTTTTGACTTGCTGAACGCATTCCCTATACCTACAAGCTCTGTTCATTGCTAATCTCTACACTGTTTTGGAGCTGGTCATTTCATGGTGAGGATTTGATTAGCCGTACTGAGGTAAACCCATGTAAATCACACTCTCAGGAGCGCCCTTTCCTTCTGGCCCCTGTATTTTTTCCAGCTGTAGCCGCTGCTCTGCCCATGGAGGAAAGAGCCCTTTCTGCAGCTGAGCGCCTCCATCCCGAGCAGCTGTTGCAACTGCCGCGCCACTCAGTGCCAGAGCTTTGCACCGCGAGCAGCAAAGAGTTAAGCGTGTTCCCAGGCTGGGAGCATTTGGAGCATTCTTTCCCAGACTGCCGAGATCATGGGCTCCTAATTATTGAGCTTGCAAACGTTGGGGCTGTCCTATATTCCGCATAATTAACATTGGACTGCTGATCAATAATCAGCAATATTCCAGTGCCAAAATCAATAGTGATCCCAGTGCTTTGGTGGCACAAGAGTAGAGCCAGGCAGACCTGGGGCTCAGATGGGCACACGGAATGTGTCCCTTCTTCCTTCACGGTGCAGTGCACCCTCTACTTCCTAGTAGCTGCATTAAGAAAGGTGTTGTCCAGTCAGCACACCTCATGTTTCTTACGATCGCTTTGATTCCTGCATTCAAATCCAAGGCTCACTTGGTGTTTTGGCATTACGCAGGTGTGCGTGCGTGTGCAGTATGGAATACAGCAGGTAAGGGAAATAAAGGGAAAAGGATTCTTGGATGGCAGCATTTATCCTAGTGTGAAAGGAAGGAGTTAGATGTTACTTCTGACAGTGAGAACTGCATTCCTGTCCACGGGAACTGCTGACGGGCTGGGAGCAGCGGGCAATGTGCAGAGTCCCAGCACTGCACCCAAAGTGCTGACTCGCATTTCTGTGCAAAAAGCAATTGCGGAGCGGTTGTTCGCAACTGCCGCCCGGTCTCTCCTGGTCTCTCTCCTTCCCTTTTATTAAACACATCACTGTCCTTTTCCCCCTTAAGCTATTTTTTGTTTGCTTGCGTCTTTTTTTTCATCTAGCCAGATCGGGCACCTGAATGGCTTCATTGTTGGGGCTTCCTCTTTTCCTCCTCCAAATGCAATATTAATTCCTGGATTATTTCAGAGCCAAACAAACACCGGCCACGTTCAGCACAAAGCCCGCCAGGCCCACGCGGCTGCCCCGGCCCCACCGCCAGCGCTGCAGGGTGCGGAGGGCACCGTGTGAGCAGCGCGGCGCAGCCCTCGCAGGGACGGAGCCGCCACGCACCGCAGCACTGTGACATTGCCACCGTTCAATCTATTCTCCTCTAACAGAGGAGATCGATCCTGACAACTCGTTCCCCGTGAAGGTGCCACGGTGTGCCATTTATTTGCATTTGCATTGCGGTTCTCTTCATCAATCGGCTTTCAGAGATCATCGCTGCTGGCCACACTGTTGCTGCGCCGACACTTCATCTTTAAGTGCCACTTGCGTAATGGCACGGTGCGTACCCATGACCAAAGTTTAAATCAGGTTTAATCATTACGGAAAAACAAACATATTTTCAGGACTGTGTATCCCGCAAGTAAAAGTAAAGGTAGTTTGCTCGGGTCACAGATGCTAATCTCCGCTCTTTTTCTGTTCACGAACTATAGAGGGAGTTGACAGCACCTGCAAATGGTTTTCCGAGG